TCTTCCCACATAGTGAGGTAGATATGTGGGGGCGTGTTAGAACGAGCCGTTTTAGGTGTGGCTGACTCTTAACTTTTATAAAGAATATCTCTTTGGATTTGAGACTTTAGTCTTTGCAACTTTACAGATCTTCTTTATGCACCAAGAGCTTGTAACACTCCAAAGAGAAAGGAAAAATTGAAATCGCATCATATGACCCCTTTAATACAGTACTATTGCTTAATGAACAAATGCAAAGGCACAAACAAAATGAAATGATGAAAGCAGTCTAAATTCTTATCTTATCAGTCTAAAACATTTTTCAGTGCTATTAATTAGGTGACCTCTGTATTTTGAAAACTATATTGTTAGTATTACATTTCTAGTACTTACGGGACAACGCCAAACCACAAAGGACAATAAAGAAAACGTATGAAGCAACTCTCTTCATGGTCCTCTTGGGTCGAGTCAGGCAGGACAGAGGTACCTGAGCATTTCACCCTGCTCTTTTTATGCTGCACCACTGTAGTGAGGACACCGCATGTCAGTGCTGATTCAGCAGTTCAGTCACATGCTAAGGAGCAGGGCTGCACTATTTGCCCCAAAAGTTATTTTGCAATTACGATTTCAACTGGGATATGATAAACATTTAATCTCGTATGAAAAAGCATAATATAACTGCTGTTGAGACATCCAGGCAAAAATAATTATATGCTGCCAATGGAATAGTTACATGTTCCCTGTGTGTGTTCTGCCCCTGTCAACAACAACAATATTTTTTATTATTAGCTTGTTATTGTTGTTGTTGTTGTTGTTATCATTGTTATTATTATTAATAATAAAATAGAAAAATAGTAATACAGTTGTACTTTTAAATACAAAAAACATTGAAAATTATTCATATGTGAAATAAAGTGAACCTAACACATAGTGTGTTCTCAAATGCATTACAATTGACCCAGACTCAGAGATGGAGCCATTCATTCAGACTACATATATATTTACTTAATTCAATCACTGTGTTTATGATTTGGTAATCACAATAAGCCACATTGCCATTTTTTTTTTTCGATTAATTGTGCAGCCTTCAAAGCAGCTATCACTGACCTGTTGCTATCTCCTTCTTTAAACAAAATTATTGCTAAGGCTTTTTAGGCTAAATTCTTCTTATACATCCTCCATGTAAAAACAACACAATAAAGGTGAACGAGTCAACATTTTTAATCGTTTTCATAGAATACTTTTTACATTTTCACAAGCTAAGAAGAAATGTGACAGATTGTGGAAGAGTCTTGTGTTTAATTTGTAAATTCTCTGGAGCAATAAGATATGGATGTAGAGAAATATTTTTTTTTTAACTAAAAACCCATCTAAAGCACATTCACAACAACTTTATGTTGCAACCAAAGCCAAATACAGCTGACCACCACAAAATGCCTGCGTAGAATCCATAACACACCCCATCCAATAGCCATTATTGCATTTCCATCACTCATGCTTGGTTTTTTAATGTTCGTACTTTTAAAGTTCCTGTACTGCTTACCAGCAGAAAAAACAACATAACAATAAATAAACTCATAATGCAAAAATATTTTTTTTCCCCTTTCTTTTTGGCTTACCATGAAACAATAACATAGTGTTATAGTAAATAAATGGCTGTTGTACATTTTCTTCATTTGGGATATAGGACAGGACAGCAAATAATTACAGATGCAAGTCTTGTACTGTTTTTTTACTGTAATCTCTAAACAAAAATATATGCTGTATATATAGTTACTGAGAAAAGCAATAAATCCTCATCCAATATGATAATACATTGAATAACCAGATCCCAATTCAAATATAGCAGGCTCTATAAACATAGTTCATGTAGAAGTATATATATGTGTGTGTGTGTGTGTGTGTGTGTGTGTGTGTGTGTGTGTGTTTTATGTAGCACTTAAAATGTCCCGTAAATACCATGGAGTACAACAATACATTATTTTTGTTCAAGTTGCCACATGAACCAAAGCAGCATGTCATAGACTCTTTTAACATGTACCTCTGAGGTGGTTAAACTGCACATGGCTCATAAGACTTCTGGGTATGTTTTTTGAAAGAATTCTCAAATAATTGTGATGCAGGATCACCGCTACTCACTCTTTCAGTAACTTTTGTATAGACATACAGTACAAAAAACTGGCTACAGTTTATAATACATACATGACTAGTTTGCATGATTTGTTTGGGTTGAAGTATGAAAATCCCTGTCAAAGCAACATCAGAAAGGCAATATACACTTAATAGATACGCGGATGCCTCTTGGTTTAGTCTGGTGAGTGGTGATGTGCAATTTACAGATACTTATATATGTAATTGTAACATAGAACCTTGACACATCGTCTGATTACACAAGAATCAATGCTGCTGACTGGCCTCAGTCTATGTTTTCTCCTGTATTCTGTGACACAGAAGTTACAAAACCCCAGTTCTATTGACATATCCATCCAGTCAACCCATGACCTCAACCTCACATTCAAACAAACAGATGTACAAACAACATTACGCATTCACACATGCAGCCACACGCAAACACACCATGACAAACAAGAGTAAAATTGTCAAATAAGCTCCTTCTTGTATTTTCAGACAAGCTACTGTCCTGTTGGTCATCCAAAAACTTGATCTCTCTAAACTCTCCTTTCACTTTCTACAACTAGATGTTTTGTAAATGTCTTTCGATATGTTTGACTGTTTGACCTACAGATGGGCCAGTGACACATCTCAGGAATTATTTTCTATTGTGTCTCGGTCTCAATTTTGCTGTGTCTTTGTGTACCAGTGAGCAATGGATAGTGCACATATGCACAGATAAGATTCTATGCTCTCTATGCAGTGACAGGAGTCCTTATGATTTCTGGCCCTCAAAACACCAGCGATTGTATAGACGGCACAACATCACATGACAATGCTGCAATGATTCCGAGGTTCTCTCGCATTTCTTTCACGTTTCATCTTCCGATGCAAAATCAGGAGGGAAGAGACAGAAACTCAAGTACACCAAGACCACTTTGTTTCGTTGCATTAACAACATCAACAAAAGCTCTTTAAAAAACAGAACAGCAAGAGAGAGGAAGGGAGGGACTAAGAGAAAGAAAGAGAGAGTACAGAGTACAACAGATTGACCAGGAACAGCGATCGACTTTGTACAAGTTGTGACTGTCCGTGTTTTATGTTCTTAGGTGGCTATAACATCGCTACTGTGAAGATGCAGTACAAGGAGGTAGCCAGCAGGAGTAGCAGAGAGCTAAGGCCTGATAGAGACATCTCCCGAGTGGAAGAGTTCCTGGAGATGGTGTTGGAGGAACTGGGGTCATTGATCTGTGGGTCCTTGGAGAAACATAACAGGCAAGAAAGAGGATGAGCATTTATTTTTATCAGCCAAAAGGTAGTTAGATATGTCAGAGATTTCAGCTGTTTGATTTTGACATTTTTTTTCATACATTTTTTTACCTTTAACCTTTTCTAAAAGGTATGCATATGTGCTTAGCTTTTCAAGGCTTTTAGTACACCATAATGTGTTTTTAAAAAACTGGACTTTCATCTTGCAAACAATTGCTGATGTCCCAAAACACTATAAAAGTGTCTAAAAAAACACTTCCAGTTCATTCAGAAATAAAAATGCCACTCTGTCTAAGTTCTACCTAATATGGGTTCAGATTTCTGAGAGATTAGAAAAGCTCTTTGATTCAGAAATGACATTTTTTGCTGAAAAGAGGTCCTAATTTTTAGGGCTGTTTGGACCTGCCGCGGCAACACTAAATGTCATTCTAGCATATAATGTTGCTTTTATTATGTACAATGACATTTAGTGAACTTTAAAAGGCAGAAGATAAGCAATGTTCACATTTTGCCATCGCCCAACGCAAAGATCATGTGCACACTGGGCGAGAAGGGCCCTCTAGTGCCAGGTCAGAGTTCCAAAAGGGGCCAACGTGACATGAGATAATTATTGCTTTGTCTCTCCTTTCTTTCATTATGATTCATCCTTTCAATAGCACTTGACATATATCGGAGATATGACTGGTTTGGGATGTGCTATCAGTTTTATTCTGACATGAAAAGAAGTATGTTAGCATACTTACCACACATAACACATCTATTGTGTTGTTTGTCTTCAGCTTCTGAGCCTAGAAAGGAAAAAGAAAGATCTCTTAAATCAACTGGATAGAAATGAAATAATAACATCTTGGAGCAAGAAAACCCTTACCAAACAACATTTTACAACAATGCTGCAGGATGATCCACACAGGATAATCAATATAGCAAAATGCTCATACTGCTGTTTATAGCTGCATTATTTTAGCCGTTAATTGCATTGTATTAGTAGTGTGCTTTATAACGATATTGACAAGTTTAAAATCTATAGTGATTTTATTTTCAGATAGTGTCAATATAACTAGAGAATTAAATGTGCATGCAAGCCGATATTAATGTTAATTATATGAATCATAGCAGTTAGGTTACTGCAGGATTCTCAGTTTGAGGCCACCTTGTATTTCTCACAATCGATGTTCAAATTTTAGCATTTCAGATGTAACTCTCCAGTAGCATACAATTTAGTATGGATTTCACTTCCTTATGTGTGTGTACTTGTATAGGTATGTGTGTCTTAGAAAGTGAGAAGCAGTGGTGATATAGGAGACCTGGTGACAATATAATGAATGGATTCCTGTGTGTTGGCAGTTCGGTATCCTCCTGAAATTAGCCGACTTGAATCTAAGCCAGAGCCCAGCACGATAAAGCAATGCCTCGGCCAGCATGAAACATTATAAACAACCGCATCTACGGACCAGCAAAAAGAGGATTTGAGGTTTAATATCAATGATTGATTTCTCCCAGAGCGGTCCTAGCACCCTTTACACATTTTCAAAATTGAAGAAATAAACCAACACAATTGTAAAAAGTATAATGTTCAGGCAAAAAAAAGAAAAAAAGTTGGATAATTGTTCTTTGTACACATCAAGTAGTGTTTTAATTACATTGAAGCAAAAATGCTCCCGAAGTGCAATATATGGCACTTTAATAGTGCAAAAAAAAAGGAATTGGAAAGAGAGAGCAAAACTCATGAAATTGGCCCTTAATCTCACTGAATCACTTGACAGCATACTAAGCAGAGTTTTTCACTTTTATTATATATTTGAACATGAGTTCACACTGAACCCAGTGTGATAATATGCCCAATACTTGCATTTTGACATGCTTTTACACAAGATGAGGTATTTACCATATTACCATATGTCTCTTTGTTTTGAGGGCGATAATGCACATCTGGCTCTGTCATTTTACTCACACGAAAACCTACAAAGGCAAAAACCCTTTCTACCACATAACTAAAGGGGGATGCAAACAGTATGGCTGGTTGTAAACATCTCAGTTCTAAACAAGAGTGAGAGAAAAGCAGTTCGATATGCAACAGAGGCTACATTAACATGGCGTTTATATGCAGGAGTCGTCTCGCTAGTTTTCCTGGAGGTCAGCTGCGTGTGCTGCGATCATTTGTAACCGATGAAGAAAGACTGACAGACATATCCCATGAGTCCGCACTCCCCGTCTCTGTTCTTCTCCTCATTTTCACATTGACAGCTGCTCCCCCTCAGAGGACAACGTTTAACAGTGAGCCTAATACAAAAACATGTAAACTCATTAACTTCACTCTCAAAGCCACTTTCTCCTGCTGCTGCGCTGCTCTCTGTTGGAGTGTGTAGGTGTGGATGTATGTGTATGTGTGTGCATGCCCTAATGTCTGTGATTATATATTAGCCTTGTTTTAAATTAAAAGACATGCTGTATATGGCCAACTCTTAACAGTCATTGTAAATTGAATGTGTAGGGGGGTGTGGGGCTTGTCAGATTGAGACTGTCACAAGGGCTGTATCTCAGTACATTTACATTGATGGATTTGGCAGACATTCATATCCAAAGCGAGTTGCATTGCATTCAGTGTATACATTTTATCAGTCCATGAATTTCTTGGGAATTGAATCCATAACCTTGGCATAGCTAACGCCATGTTCTACTGTTTGAGCTACAGGAATGCTGTACTTATAAGTTGTTCAGTCAAAAGTCTAAAGTTAATTTAGGCCAGAGAAGAACTGTCTCTCCCCCAAATGAGCTTGGCTTCTCCCAAGGTTGTTTCTCTTTCTCTCACTGAACTGACTTGAGCTGAATAGCCACACTATTGTCTTCTGGGAATTGATCTAATTTCATAATTGATAAACTATACTAAACTGAAACATTGAACTGACTTGAGCTGAATAAGGACGTTATTGTTCTTTTTTAGAGCTGTTTTGCAGCAGAATTTGAATTTGTTTCATATGCGAAGAAGTTTGTATCATTGATTCTGTTATTTTCCTGATGGTACTGTGAAGCTGCTTTGATATAATCTATATTGTATAAAGCGCTAGAGAAATAAAGGTGACCTGGCAAATGATGCTCGAAACCCTCTTAAATGAGGACAAATTTTGTGATTGTAAACATGATATTTATATTATAGCGGTTACAGATAAGATTCAACTATTAATGGTATAATGTATAATTTTTTTGTAATGTGTTTTAAATATTAATTTACCCTAAATAGTTAGATAGTTCAGTAATTCTAATTTCTGTTTCTGTTTCCTCACATTTTTGCTGTTTTATTCTTTAAATTTTAAATTAAATTTTGCTGAGATACATGCCATAGCATCACATATGCTGTTTTCATGGCAAATGATCTTTGTGACAATTTATCCCATACAGTGTGACAACATGCCCCAAAAGGTAATTGAAAACTGTACTGTGATTGATTAGGGGACAATAACACCTTTTTTTTGTTTTTTTCCTAAGCAAGACTTTAAGGTTTGTGCCTTTACAGAAATTGACTTAAAAAAAATAAACCTGCCCACGAGACCTTCCACGTCTTGGTCTCCCCTATAATGTAGTATAGCTCTCTTATCTAAATTAAGCATATGCAACTGAACTATTCCTTTCTTAAAAACATTATTTTCAAGATCACCAGAGGTATTTATTAACTCCTAACACAAGAGGACCACAAACACATCGTCTGTTTTAAAACCCTGCATTCCCTGAGGCACATACACATACACCAAACCCTCAATGCATAAATAAAACTTGAAGATCTATGTCTGCAATAGTTCCAATGACCTGGAGGCTTCCGCAGAACTGGTAGAGGGAGTTATCAGCCGGGTTGAGATGGTTGATGTGTGTGACCGGCTCTATGGCGTTGGGTGATCTGCCTCGATCCCTGTTCCTCTGGGATGGTGTTGTCAAAGAGGTGGTTGTTTGCAATGGGGGCATCGGCTGCCACACGCTCACGTCTGTCCCATTTCCAAAAGCCAGGATTGCATTACCTACGCACAAAGAGCAAAGTTGGTTTCCTACCTCATATTAAAAGAGAGATACAATGAAACATTTAAGAATTAATTTCAGGTCCGGTACAGCACAGATAAACACTGTAGATAGGTTTTGCCTCCTGTCTGTTGTCAAAGTCTCAAGTTTATATTCTGAGAGATGTTTACCATAACATAAGAGTACCCAGAGATGCATGACTGTTTATTAGTTTCAAATATGTGTTCGACTGTAAATCAAGGCCTACTCCTGGATTTTATGTGCATACTGTATGTGAATGTGGCTCAGAATTCCCTAAATATATAAAATTCAAACTAATCAATATTTATGCTGAACTGATGGATGCTAGATAATGAAACTGAGGGCATGCAAAACTTGTCTCATAAACTGTAAATTACAGGTGGTTTCTATTTTTCTGAATATCGGAGGTCAAACCTACATCCTACAGCTACATAATGACCATCAGCTTAATCTCTCTTTCTCTGAGATTTATAATCATTGATTTAACAGAAGGACCAGCAGTGTGTACCATCCTGTATATGACCGAGTAATTGCAAGGCCATTTATCACTAACTTATTAAACCTGACCTATCAACATAGTCAATAGATAATGTGCTGTTTGCTTTAACTGCCTGTGTGATAGACTGGAAATGATGCGTATTTGCCCAAACTCTCAGTCAGGCCCTCCCCCAACCCAGCCTTTCTTAGAAGTAGGATCTACTGCCTCATTATATGGCCCGCTGACAGGCTCTTGCTCTCTCTGCCACCTCCGCCATCTCCACTGAAACAGTACAGACTACACACTGCTCAGCACATATAGTCTGTGAAGACACGGTTTTTAAGAAAAATCCAAGAAAGTGTGGTACAGTATGTGTGTAGTTGTTTTACATTGTGAATTGTTTTTTTTTTAATCAGAAACGTCCGCCCTCTCTCATAGTGCTTAGTTCTGTCTGTTGCTACGCTACGTCTTAATGTTTCATTTTCATCTCCCTCACTAATTTTGTCATACTCGCATGTAAATAGTTTGAACAAACACATGATGAATGTATTGTTTGCTATTTTTAGAAACTTTCTCTCCATCTCTCTAGGAAATACTGGAAAAGACCCGCAGGCTCTGAGCACTTTGATCGTTGTTTTGAGTCTATGAGCCCTGACACATTTTCTTCAGCAGATGAATCGAGTAGTTTCCTCTCATGTGCATTTCTCTCAATGAGTCAAGTTCTCTGAATCCACTCTACACTCCACCAGCTGATGTCTGGAGACCTTCATATCCACATGGTTTTATGTTTCAAAGAAAGAAAAAAATGTTCTGCAATATCGCTACTGTTTGCTTTTTTTGTGATTTTTATGATGAAATGCATACCAGCTTAAAATAAGCACGCTTTTCTGATGTAAATAACATTTGCATTAGTTTTTTTTCCCTTAACACACATTTATAGTTTTGCTATAAATATGACACCATACAGTGGGGTCCAACATTCTTAAACGACTAGTAAAATCCCTTTTCCCCCCATTTTTCAAGAGCTTTTATTATACATTTATCTAACTGAATACATATTTTTTTTTCACATTTACATTCTACACTGTTCTTTTGAATTTTCTATTTGTCAAAAAACACAGAGGAAAAAAAAATCAGTTTTCACAAAAATGTTATGAAGAATTTTTTTTTTTTCAAAATTGATGATAAGAACCATTGATAATAACTGAGTAACAATAATCAATTATTATAACTGAGCAGCAAATCAGCATATTAGAATGATTTCTGAAGGATCATGTGACACTGAAGACTGGAGTAAATGGCTGCTGAAAACATCACACACACAAAAAAAAAAAAAACATTTTACAATATATTACCATCACAGTATAACTGTTTTTACAGTATTTTTGATTAAATAAATGCAGCTTTAGTGAACATACGTTCTTTATTTCAAGAACATTTAAAAAAAATGTAAAATATATACAGCATAATTTATTATTTAATCTAATTAATTTAAATCATAATATTTCTTTTTTTCAGTGTTTTAAAATCCTATAATAAAAGTTTATTTGCAGCTTTAAATTAGCAGCTGGGATTTTGAATCCCAGAATTTGGACCGCACTGAATAAATGTTTTTGGGAAACACTCTTATTACTGTACAATTATATACAACAGCTTGATTGTTGCCACCAAACTCAAGATCTAAGGATGTAAAGCTGATGTTAAGTATTTGAGGGGGGTGGGAAGAAAAAAACATTCTCAACTTAATATTTTCAATAACGCTCTCACTATTTCACTTGATGCTATCTGTTCTGCTGAAGCTCAGCTCTGCTCTACACTAGCCTGTGTTGAGGACGCCGTGTTCCAAGGGCAGACAGATGCATAAAGCCCAGGGGCTAGTGTAGGGTGTGAGGCCAAAGCGCTTCGTCATAGCCTCCTAAACACCCAGATACTGACGGCGCTGGGAACGAACCCCCAGAACTGTCAGGATGCCTTAACACTGAAATCCCGTAATGAGACATGAGAGAATGCGGTAATGAGAAGGAGAGAGAGAAAGTGAGAGAGAGAGAGTCAGAAAGAAAGATAGAACAATAAAGAAGCAGTTTAACCCAGTTTAACCTCCTGAAGAGTCTCCTTCAACATCCCATCAAAGCCCTCGGCACTAAAAGAAACAAATCAAATTAAGCTCAGACTGTTCACAGATATACTCATCCTACAGTGAATCCACCCTGCCCTTTCTTTTGAAGATCTGAACATTGAAATCTATTTCTTTTACTGCAGTGGTTTAGAGAAAGATTTTGACAGGTCACTATTCTCTTACTTCTCTTAATCACAATTTTGCCTTCACTAATTCACTGTAAATGGTCTTGACGTGAACGTTTGTGGTCTGCATAAAAGTCCAAATATTCCATGTAGACTTTCAAGGTGGAAAATTAACAGCCACAGTGTCTGAATGCAGAATTTTACCAGCTACTCATAATTTTAACCAGCCATTTTTAAGTAACAAATAACAACTGCTGCACAACTACAGTAGGAAAATAAGGAAACAGGAAAATACTATGTAGTTTTAGATGATATTTAGATTTTTTTTGTTACAGCTTAGTGCGATTATCAAATCGCAAAAGCTGTGATTTAATTAAATACATTTTATGCATGAATTTTTCTTAAATGGTTTTTAGTAATTTTTATATTTCCATTTAATAATTCTTCTCTTTTTTTTGTTCTTCTTCATCATCATAGCCATATTGATATATAAGCACAAACTTGTGGCCAAATTGTGCAGCCCTTACAAACAAGCACAGTTTCAAAATGCAATTTTTATTAGAAGAATTATAATCATATTTTTCTCCAAATTGTGCAGTCCTACTGTTAGCAGGTCCGACTGTTAGCAGTGAACTGAGGACTGGGCTGTTACAAATGGGGCATGATGATCGACATGACCTGTGAACTATATCACCATAAGACACTTATTTCAAGTGCTGTGTATTGAGGTTTGAGTAGTGGCATTCATCTTGACCCTGCTTTCTAAACTGACCCCTGCATGGATCTCTGTCAGTACTATAGATTTTTGTAGCACTCCCAGGACTTTCACAAGCTCTCCCTGAAAGCTTGCTTTTTGCTATTACCACTTATGCTGTTTTCATGCCATTCTACGAGTACACAGGAACAAAACGAAACACTTGGTGCAGTCAAGGAAGTGTAGCGTGCAAAAGATATTCAGGGAAAAGGGTAAGGGAAAGAAGTGTAAATAATAGGAAGATGGAAGAGGCTTTTTAGAGGCAGAGGTAAAAACAGGCTGACAGTTGGACAGCTAAAAGCCTCAGAAAACAACTTGCTGGAGTCTGAAGAGATGGACAGAGCAAACCAGATAAGAGGGAGAATGAGACAAATGGACAGGGAAATGGCACGGATGGAGGCACAGAGTTTAAAGAAAGAGAAAACAAGACAGAAAAAAGGTAACAAGATATGAGGAGTGTTTGACTGACTTATTACTCACATCTTTATGTCTATTTTTATGTAATTTACTAGTGGTGGGTGAAATGAAGCTGGCTCTTTTTAAATAGCCATGAGTTTCCCAAAGAGTTTGTCATAAGACTACAGCACTCAAGTATGAAACCATTAAGTCAGACTCAGCAAAGTTAGAAAACAGTTTCTCATTTAAACTTCAGTTGGAAAATGCCATTAGAGTTGGGAAGTTTGATTAATTTTTGTGAAACACTTTAAATGGAACATTTTAATGCATTGATTCCAAACTTCAAAATTTGGCATCACCACTCAAAAATGTTCACAAAGTTCTCCTATTTTGGCATTTTACATGCTTTAAAATGTTTTAGTAAAACTATTTGTAGGCAAATGTTATTGTTTATAACTATATATTAGTATTAATAAATTCATACATATAAATATAATATACATAGTGCTGGGTATCGAGTTTGATACTTTTTAGGCACTGACTTTTTAGGGTTCCGCCCAGAGACGTGGCTCACATGTGAGGCTGTAGTGTGTAAGCGTCCGACCCCCATAGATGTACGGCTACGTTTACACTAGTGTGTTTTCATTTTAAAATGCTGTTTTTTGATCATGTTGACATCAAGCTAATTGCTACACCTGCTTAGCATTTCTCATGTAAACACCCTGTATTGTTATGGAAACAGGCAGAATCTCATAAAAATCACATACAAATCAAATACTGTCATAATCGCTTGTTTATTAGCTTCATGTTTCATCAGTGGAAATGTTTTCCTGGGTTTCTTCTGTACAGAATTGAAGTGTAATGGATGAGACAGGGTGGGTTATAAACGCATAATATGATTGACATATGAGCAGCGAATGAGCTTCCTCTGAGTCAGAACAGCGATCATGGCATACAGTGCTGGAAGCAGCTAATGCTCATCAGTAAATCAGTGGAAATTGAATAGAAATTATGATTCTGTCTAAGCTATACGTTTTAAAACAAAAACGCACTAGTGTAAACGTAGCCTAAAAGATGTGGAAAATGAAAACTATTTAATAATACACTTATTAAAAACAAGCTGAAAAAAAAAAAAAGAAAAAGTTTTTTGAGGTAATGTAAATTTAAATCTTGTTAAAACTGATTTCATATCATTGGCATCGAAAAAAGTATAGTTCAGGAACCAGTATCGAAGTCAAGGTATCGGTATCGATATAGAACATTTTTGAACGATACCCAGCCCTAAATATAAAGATTTTGAGCTGTATGGCCCAGCTCTAACAAAAACTACACATGTAAATCAGCAAGTCTGCCTCGAGTGGGCGAGTTGGGCCAGAACAGTAACTCACGCAGGCAGGCGTTGTCAGTGAAGAATTCTGTGAATCTGTCGCATTCCTCTTTGCTGTTGCCACTGCTGCTGCAGTCACAGAATGGCGACACGCTGATCTTGGGTGAACGCAGATAATTTGAGGTCATCACCGTGCCTGGAAAAAAACAAAAAAGACATGTTCCTACAGTCAGGTTGGTGTGAGAGCATCTGCATGCACAGTGAGGCCAAGACTTGTGGACAACAGCCTGGTATCAAGAAGGGCAGCAAAGAAACCACTTATCTCCAAGAAAAACATCCCCGGATCTCAATCCCATAGAGAACCTGTGGTCAGTCCTCAAAACGCGAGTGGACAAGCAGAAGCCCACAAATTGCGATAAACTCAGAGAACTAATAAGGCAAGAATGGATCGCCATGAGTCAGGATTTGGCCCAGAAGCTAATATCAAGCATGCCAGAGCGAATTGCAGAGATTATGAAGAACAAGCATCAACACTGTAAATATTGACTCATTATATTTTTTTGGCAATAAAAGTCTTTAAAACTTATGATATGCTTATCATTGTTTTTAAGTATACCATAGAAACATGGAAAAATAATCTATAAATACTGAAGCAGCAAACTTTGCAAAACACAAAAATTGTCACTGCCAAAACTTTTGGCCATGACTGTACACGCTTCAGGAGTATTGTATTTTAAAAATCAATGTATCAATTTCATATTTAAAAGGAATTTGACTAAATATGTGTGTTTCCGTTTTTATAAGCCACACATCACACATTAAACCATTGAAACCTAAACCCTTGTCATCTTCAGATTAGTCGTTATATTGTTCTCACTGAGCTTTCTTAAAAATAATAATTTTGGTGCAATTGTGCTTCATAAAAGCTGTACTGTGGAGATGTGACAGTGTTAGCCCACAGAGAAACAGTCTCCCACTGGTAGAACAACAGGAGCTAATCACATATTAATAGCTGCACTGCTTTATTCCCGTGTGTCCAGCTGCTGCTTCTGTGTGGTGCACAGACGACTTGGGGGAAACATCCAGCACAAGCAAAACACAAAGAAAGAACTAGAGAACAAGCATGTTTTCCCAAAGGCTTAATCTATGTCTATCTCAGTGGACTGTATAGAGAGTAGTAGCAGTGTAGTAGCAGTCACTCAGTGCTAGTTAATGAGACACTAAACTGCATCAGTGAATCCAGATTTAACAGATCAACCCAAATCATCAGTATATAACTGGTTGATGTTGATATATATATATATATATATATATATATATAGTGCAGCTATCTCTAATTAACATTAAATTTACCATATTAATAATTAAAAAAAAAATAAAAAAAAATAAATATATGTTACAGGGCAGACTCACCAATGAGGCCAGAGTACGACAGCAAGCAGTCAGCGTAGTTCTCCTTCAGACAGCCAGAGAGAGAGCGGGGCTCAGGTTGACAGTTAGTGAAGAAATCTGCCAGACGAGACCTAAAACACCACACACACACACTTTATATTACATAATTCTCACCTTTTCCTGACATCACTTTATAATTAAATAGAGTTCATTATAAATGAAAGAAAACATACGTTGCCAAATCTGTGTTTGTAAAGCAAACTGCACACGCAGTTCTTGGCTGTTAAAAGTGTTGGATGACTCTCCGCAGCAGTCTGTCGCGGTGTTAAGGATGGAGAAGAAATGTGTAAATGAATGTGATGTGCCGTGTCTCCTAAGACACATGGTGTGGGGTTTCTGCACAACTACACCAAACACCTTGCTACAGCTAGGGGCTACACCTGGCTTCAAAATGGTCATGGGTACAAGAGCAGGATGGATACAGAAAGAAGGACAAATAATGAGGAAAAAATGACTGGAATGGAGCATATGAACTGTACAGACCTGGAGCGCAAGTGCAAATATATTCCATTTATTTGTATGAGTGTCTGAGTTTGCCTCCAGATTTCTTAACTTTGTGTATGTTCTTTATTTACTCGCTTTACTACTATATAATGGAGTCTCAAAGTTCAAGACCACTAGTGAAATGCTTCTGTTTTTTTATATTATATTATATTATATTATATTATATTATTAATTAATTATATTAATCTTTTTTTATTTTTTTATTTTTTTTTACAAATTTGACATGAAAAATTTGATTTTTCTTTAGAAAAAAAGATTAAGATAAGTAATTAGAATGTGTTTATTATTAGATCATTAGAAATTATCATAATAATAACATTTTAAATTGTCTTTTTTAAACCAGTTCTTAATTATATTAGTTTATTTATTAAGTAAAATATATAATATTAATATAATATATTAATATTATTTTTATTATAACATGGTATAATAGAATATTAAAATATAATATTTTATTGTTTATTATTTTATAACAATTTAAGTAAACTTTGAATCAAAATATATGAAAAAGTAGTTTAGAATACATTTATTATTAGGGTTATTTGTTATTATTTAGGGTCAAATCATTCATTTAATATTATTAGATTTTTTGGTGACAACTTTACAATAGAGTCCCATTAGTTAACGTTAGTTAATTCATTAACAATGAGCAATATATTTGTTACTGCTTTTATTAAGTTGGCTTGAGAAAGCCAACTTACTTTTGTGCTATTTAAACTACTTCTTCTTCTTCTGAGACTAACATTTCTGACTCTTATTCCTCCTACAGCTTTAACTCTACAACCACCAAACTCCCATATCTTCAGACTGTTCTGACTTATGACTGGAATTGACTACACGACTTTTAATATCTGAGCAGATTTTAAAATGCTGGACATCATACACTTACTGACTTTGTAAACAGTCACAAAGGAAAAACTGGCCATCATACACAAAACGACTGAGGATCATACACTACCAGACTATAAAGTCATTCAGATCACAACAAACTCACGCAGAAAGATGCGTCCAGTGTTGCCAGATCAGATGAACGATTTCTAGGCAAAAAGCTCACCAAAACCTGCCAAATCCAAAAAAAAAACGCCCAAAATTTTAACTGTCATAATTAGGGCTGCCCCCTAACAGTCGACTAACCTTTAGTTGACAAGAAAAGGCTTGGTCGACCAAAATTGTATTAGTCGCTTAGTCGCAGATAAAAAAAATCCACAGGAAGTGGTGAGGTCACGCAGTCCGTGACGGACAGATCGTTAACGGCTGGATTTTGTGGTAATACATTTCATCCAAATGCTCGCCTATCATTCATCGACCTCAAATATGGCTTATCATCTGAAATATGTAAGTAGTAGCAACTTTACATGGCCACTCAATCTAATGTTAACCTAGAAAAATGTGCGCTATTCAAGTGTCTGTGCGGAGTGTGAAAGCGGAACAGTAGCGCACTCACAGCATGACAGATGGAGGCGCCGGTGCAGTCACTTGCTCTTAAAATACTCCGTCATTTTTGTCATACAGAAAAGAGTAATACATCTTTCAAATCTGTAAAGCCTCTACGTTTATTTGTGTGCACTCACTATAACAACAAAACATTGCGCTTTTGTAAAATAATGAAAGCAAACATGCGCTTTCTGCCATCTCGGCCTCTGTGAACCTGAGCACGAAACTCCGTGTATACTTGCCTTACAGACATGAAAAATATATCTATAGAGAGTGAAATGCCTACTTTCAAATGAAACAATTCAAATCTGAAAAAAACAGATATTCTCAGATTATGTAATCCTATGAAACTTGCATGCAGGCGCATCCACTACAGGGGAGATGACGAGTCGGTGTCTGCGAATTAATCTCTTAAGCCAAAATCACAGAAAACACTAGTTTATCAATAAATTATTAAAACGTTAATGCAGTTTATAGGTGGGGTAAGCGATTTCTGGTAGCCAATGTTGACATTTGAAATCACCAAAACAAACGTCTCAGGTTACGTATGTAACCATGGCTCCTTGAAGGAACGAGACGCTGCGTCGGCACGGACACACTCCTCGGAGCGTGCCCGGCGAGAGCGGAGCGTTTATTTTTGAGACCATACTCACCAGACCATATTTTATCCTCTGGTTGTCTGACTGCATTTAATTCTGAGGAATAAAATGAAGTATTTATTTTTGGAAAAGCACAATCCGCCCCCCGAGAGCCGACTGCGCGAGCTCCGCTCCCCATTGATGCTGCTTATTCCCGCCCGTGACGTCTCGCCCATCTATTGGTCTGATTACACACGAGGTTCAGAGCCGGTCACGCTGAAGGGCGTTTCCTAAGCGTCTTCCTACGCAGCTCGAGTTCCTGAAGAGGAACACGCCCCTACCCCAAAAGGGTCTCACCCCTATTTGATAGCTCCACCCCACACAACGTACGCAACCCAGGCAACGATTAGCTCTGTGAAAAAAAGCAAAACCAATGTTACACCGTGTCTATACCAGATGCGAGTGGCGCGGTGTGTCAAAATACTATAGAACTTATAATCAGTGATGCTGTCTACTACACCATAGATATATATACATACAGTGGGTACGGAAAGTATTCAGACCCCCTTCAATTTTTCACTCTTTGTTATATTGCAGC